CCTGGAGGTGTGGAAGGGGCTGAGGGGAGTTAAACCCAACCCTGGAGGTGTGGAAGGGGCTGAGGGGAGTCAAACCCAACCAGAGCTGTGGAAGGGGCTGAAGGGAGTTAAATCCCCACCCTGGAGCTGTGGAGTTGCTGAGGAGGGGAGATGTTTCCTCCCCTTTGAACAGCGGGGTGGGGACCCTGCTGGGTTTCAGGAGCCACCAGAGCCCCAGTGAGCTGAGTTTTGGAGCTCTCCCTCACGCCCAGGCCCCTCAGCCGAGGCACTGAGAGCACCCAGGGCCGTGGGCCAAGGCTGGCCTGTCCCGGGAGGTACCGGGTGGGCAGAGGCTGGGGCTGGAGAAGGGTTTGCTGTCCCTCCCCACTGAGCCCTGGCTGCATCCTGCAGACATCTACGTGTGCATGATCTCCTCTGCCCACAACGTGGCGGCGCAGGGCAAGTACATCGCCATCGCCAGCACCACCGTGGAGACCTCTGAGCCTGAGAAGGAGATCAAACCAGCCCTGGACCTGCTGGAGCCCATCGAGCAGAAGTGAGTCATTGAATCAGAGAATCACAGAATCATAGAATCAGCCGGGTTGGAAAGCACCTCTGAGATCATCCAGCCCAACCCTTGATCCAACCCCGCCGTGGTTCTCAGCCCATGGCACTGATGCCACATCCAGTCTGGCCTTAAACACCTCCAGGGATGGAGAATCCACCACTTCCCTGGGCAGCCCATTCCAATGGCTGAGCACCCTCTCTGGAAAGAAATTCTTCCTGATATCCAACCTGACCCTGCCCTGGCCCAGCTTGAGGCCGAGCCCTCTTGTCCTACTGCTGGTTCCCTGGAGCAGAGCCCAACCCCCCCTGGCTCCCCCCTCCTGTCAGGGAGTTGCAGAGAGTGAGGAGGTCTCCCCTGAGCCTCCTCCTCTCCAGGCTGAGCCCCCCCAGCTCCCTCAGCCTCTCCTCACAGCACTTGTGCTCCAGTCCCTTCCCCAGCCTCGCTGCTCTTCTCTGCCCCTGCTCCAGCCCCTCCAGGGCCTTCCTGAGCTCAGGGCCCAGAGCTGGACACAGCACTCACTCCTTGCTCCCCTCCCGGGTGCTCAGCCCTGGGGTGAGGGTGGGGGGCACTGGGGGCCATTCCCAACCCTTCCATTCCCAACCCTTCCATTCCCAACCCTTGTGTTCCCAACCCTTCTCCTCCCGCAGGTTCGTCAGCATCAGTGACCTGTTCGCTCCCACCGACCTGGGCACCGAGAGCCAGGTGAGTGAGGGCTCGCCCAGCTTGGCCTCGGGGCTGGGCCTGAGCTCTGGGCCCGAGCTCGGCACTGAACCCCCCCTGTCCCCCCCAGATCTTCATCTCCCGCACCTACGACGCCACCACCCACTTCGAGACGACGTGTGACGACATCAAGGACATCTACAAGAGGATGATGGGCTCAGAGTTCGACTTCGAGGAGATGAAGCGCAAGAAGAACGACATCTACGGGGAGGAGGAGCAGCAGTAATGAGAGAGCCTCTAATTAGGAGAAATTAAATGGGCTAATATGAATATATAAGGAACTTAATGAACACTGTACGAAAATTCAATATTGTAAGGCCTGCTTTTGTAATCCCATCTCTGAGAGATTGAAGAGTTACTGCACTGGTAATGTTCCCTTTTTGGATATCATGTGTTAATTATTCCATTCTAGTAGGGCTGCTGTCCAGAATCTGGCAACCCCCGACCCCCCCTGACTAACCCCCTAAAGCGAAAGGCAGAAATGAACTTAGGATGATGATGATGATGATAATTATTATTATTTTTGCAGAGTAGACGTTGGTGCAGATTTGAGAAATAACAACTCATTGACAGCTGTGTCTTACCTTGTCTTTTTAATCATTTGTAAAAACATCCTCCACCCTTTCCCTGCCCCTCCCGTGCTTCTGGTGAGCTCATAGATGTGACTGTGAACGTCACAAACCCGGTGTCGAGGAACATAGACCCCGAGCACTCCTGTCATTGTGGACAGCATCCCTAAAAAGTCCCTCCCATCGACCTTAACTCTCGTGGCAAAGTTGTTTATCATGGACAAAGCCCACATCTATTGTAGCAGCAAACGTTGGCTTCGTTCTGGGCACAGAACTTTAACCTCCACTTCAGCTTCTAAACCTGTTTACAGGGGTTGGGACACAGCTGTGCCTGAGGCTCCTTTTGTGTTTTAATCTTAATAAAATTGAGAGAACAAAAAATTGCAGAGCAGGCAAAGATGTTGGGAGTATTTTGTGTCCCTGGGGGCTCCTCGGATGGACCAAAACGGCGCCGCGGTACCGGCAAGGACGGAGCCGGTGCTTCCCGGGGCTCCTCCAGGCTCCAAATGATTTCTGTACTGCGAAGTAAAGCCAAATTCTGGAAACCAGTCCTGGGCTCCCAGTCTCTGATTCGCTTCACTTCTACCAGCAGCACCTCTGGGAGAGATCCCGAGGGATCTCGGCCTGCCAGGGAGCGGGGACACGGCATTCCCTGCTGGAAAACTGCCTCGGGGGGTCCCTGGTTGGGATTCCCAGGCCGTGCTGCTCCAGGGAGATGTGGCAGCACCAGGATGTGGCTCGAGCTGTCCATGGGCACAATCCTGCCTGGGCTGTCCGTGGGCACAGTCCTGCCTGGGCTGTCCGTGGGCACAATCCTGCCTGTTCCCCACAGCCACATCCGGGAATGGCACTTGCTGGAAGCAGCAATAACTAATTCCTGCTCTCGGGGCACCTCTCCAGGGCTCTCCCTGGCTAAGAGATGCTCCTTAGGGATCCCTGGCTGGGATCTGGGAGCCTGGACCCTCCAGCTGTTGGGCACAGCTGGGCAGTGAGGAGCAGGGCTCGTGTTTGGACACAGCGCTGCCAAGTGCCAGGAAATACCTTGGAACACCCTCCGGCCGGTGCTGCTCCGCTCCCAGGCTGCTGCTGAGGAGGAACTGGGATTTCTGATCCCACCACAGGCACGAAGCTGAGGCAAACCTGCCCCTTCCCCCTCCCTGCCGGGGCTTTTGGCACTTCCCCTTCCCGGGGTGGCAGTTCCAGGAACCACCTTCCCGTTTTCAGCTCTCCTGGGCCTTGTGCTTCCTCCCTGGAGCTGGGTCAGTGCCCAGAGCTGAGTCTTCCCAAAGGCAAGGCCCAGAGCAGGTGGAAAACAATACTTCCCTTAAATTATCCCGTTATCCCTCTCTGCTGTAGCCTCGTTATTCCTGGGAAGCAGGATGGGATCGATCATCCAGGAGCCTCCACCGTGTTGTTCCCTCTCCCCTTCCTGGGGGAGCCTCCAGGTTGGAGTCAAGACAGAACAAACTTCGTTTCGAGGTTTTATTATTCAAACTCTTTACAAATCCATCCCCAACAGAAGGACAACTGCAATTCTTTCATTTAAAAAAATACCCCAAAATAGAAGAGGACAAATCCCGGCCCTGCGTCTCCATCCCGGCCCCCATAAATAAGAGCTTTTATTTGTTCCTATATCCCGGCTATTTACAGGAATTCCAGGCGCTGGAATGCACCAGAATGGAGTCCCAGCAGGGAAAAATGGTACCGTGAGGCAACAGGGGGTGAGTTGAAATGTAGTGTAGGAGGGCAGGGCACAGGAACTACCCCGTGGGGAGGGGGGTTAATTGTCCTTCCCGACCTTCCTTCAAGTAAAAAACGGCTTTCTGGAGATTAAATCTTCCTGTTTCTTCCAATGTCAGCGGCACTAAAAACGCCGGGAAACGCTCCAATAATTAATTAACCTGCCATGTTACAATGACCTCTGTCCTGGGGTGCAATAGGGAATAAAAACCCCGGAACAGGGAATAAAACCCCGGGAACTGGGAATAAATCCCCGGGGGGGGGGTTGGATTGGCCACCTCCCAGTCAGGTTTTCTGGGCAGAACTCGAATGGCTCTTCCAGTGCCACCCAGAGCATCCGCCGGGATGGGGTGTCCCGGAAGGATTGGGATGCCCCAACTGGTGTCACCATGGGGAGGAGCCACGTCCTGGCTGGGCTTTGTCACCTGCAACAGAGAGAGGTGGTACAGGTTGAAGCTCCACTCCATCAATCCTGAGGAGCATCCCAGGAAAAATACTGGAGTGTTTCCCACTCCCAACGGTGCCAAGCACGGCTCTGCCAGCTCTGGATTCAGGAGTCAGCCCTGAGTGCCAACAGATCCCACATCCGGCACCCGGGGAACATCCCTGCCCTGCTCTGGGAGCAGCTGGATACAGCTCCCAAAAATCCAGGAGCTGCTCCCAAAAATCCAAGAGTTGCTCCCAAAAATCCAGGAGCTGCTCCCAGCGACCCAGGAGCTGCTCCCAACAATCCAGGAGCTGCTGCAAACAACCCAGGGGCTGCGCCCAAAAATCCAGGAGCTGCTCCCAAAAATCCAGGAGCTGCTCCCAACAACCCAGGAGCTGCACCCAAAAATCCAGGAGCTGCTGCAAACAGCACAGGAGCTGCTCCCAAAATTCCAGGAGCTGCTCCCAAAATTCCAGGAGCTGCTCCCAAAAATCCAAGAGCTGCTCCCAACAACCCAGGAGCTGCTCCCAACAACCCAGGAGCTGCTTCCAAAAATCCAGGAGCTGCTCCCAAAAATCCAATGGCTACTCCCAAAAATCCAAGAGCTGCTCCCAAAAATCCAGAAGCTGCTCCCAATAATCCAAGAGCTGCTCCCAACAATCCAGGAGCGGCTCCCAACAACTCAGGAGCTGCTCCCAAAAATCCAGGAGCTGCTCCCAAAAATCCAAGAGCTGCTCCCAACAACCCAATGGATGCTCCCAACAACCCAGGAGCTGCTCCCAAAAATCCAAGAGCTGCTCCCAACAACCCAGAAACTGCTCCCAAAAATCCCGGAGCGGCTCCCAACAACCCAGCAGCTGCTCCCATATTTCTGGGACTGTTCCCAAGCTTTCCCTCCTCACCAGTAGCTCCTCCGGAACGGAGCAGCCACGTCCCGCAGGGTCCCCAGGAAGGAGCTCACGTCGGCCACCAGGATCCCTTTGCTCTCCAGGACCTCCCGCCTCGCTCCAGGGTTTTCTGCAAGGGAAGGAGCAGCGACGTGAATCCAAACAGGTGCAGAATTCCCAAACCTGCAGGGAATATCCCCGAATCCCACTGTGCCCTGTGACATACACACCTCACCTGTGACATACACACCTCACCTGTGACATACACACCTCACCTGTGACATACACACCCTGAGTGTGACATACACACCCTACCTGTGACATACACACCCTGAGTGTGACATACACACCTCACCTGTGACATACACACCCTACCTGTGACATACACACCCTGAGTGTGACATACACACCTCACCTGTGACATACACACCCTACCTGTGACATACACACCCTGAGTGTGACATACACACCCTACCTGTGACATACACATCCCACACTCTGTTCCCTGTGAGCTCCCCATTCCTGCCCTATGAGCTACCATTCCTCACCCCAATTCCCTGTGATCTCTCCAACACGCACTCCCATCCCCATGAGCTCCCCATCCCGCAGCCAAATTTCCTGTGAGCTCCCAATCCCTCACCCCAATTCGCTGTGAGCTCCCTATCCCACTTCCCCTTCCCTGTGAGCTCCCATCCCTCACCCCAATTCCCTGTGAGCTCCCCATCCCACATCCCCTTCCCTGTGAGCTCCCCATCCCTGCCCCGTGAGCTCCCCATCCTGCACCCCCCATCCCCGTGAGCTCCCCATCCCGCACTCCCTTCCTTGTGAGCTCCCATCCTTCACCCCAGATCCCTGTGAGCTCCCATCTCTCACCCCAATTCCCTGTGACTTCCCATCCCACACCCCAATTCCCTGTGACCTCCCATCCCTCACCCCAATTTCCTGTTAGCTCCCCATCCCACATCCCCATCCCTGTGATCTCCCATCTCTCACCCCAATTCCCTGTGAGCTCCCATCCCTCATCCCAATTCCCTGTGACCTCCCATTTGTCACTCCAATTCCCTGTTAGCTCACCATCCCACATCCCCTTCCCTGTGAGCTCCCATCCCGCACTCCCATCCCCATGAGCTCCCATCCCTCACCCCCATCCCCGTGAGCTCCCATCCCTCACCCC